ATTTCTACCAAACTCAGTGCACTCAATACCCTAAGTACAGGGTGGCGCCGAATGAGCTACAGTGAAACCCGCTTAAGTACCCCCCCGCTTAAGTGCCTAACCCGCTTAAGTAACTAACATTTTTGGACACCATGAATTTTTTAATGTATTCTGAAGAAAATCCCTCTCTTTAGTACCTCCCCGCTTATGTACCCAACCCGTCTTAGTACCTCAATTTTTCATGCCCCATTTACAATTTTACTTATAATTTTCGCCTTTTAAGTGTTCTTTTAAAATTCCTTAAAATATTTATGTATTTTGAAATTCAGTAGCAGTGCCACACACCTTCGATAAAAAAATTCTAAAAAATCACCGGTAACTTTTAGTCACTTGAAACTTGCACATTATTGCACTAAAATTGAATGGGTTATAAAACTGTATACCCAAAAAACACTTCTGAGAAAAAAGTTTGAAATTATGATGATTTTTTTTTAAGTGTTCTACAAAATCTTAAGCTTTATATGGTTTATATGGTATTTGTTAGGGAATGAACTGCATTTTAGTTGATTGAAAAATCTTAAAAATTAATAAATAAACATAAGTGGCAAACAATTGCCAATTGCCAATTGTGAATTTGGTACAAAATGATATGTCCAACTTTGTACCCGCATTGAGGTACTTAAGCGGGTTCTTTTAAGTACCCAACCCGCCTAAGTACCTTAAAAAGCGTGAGGTACTTAAGCGGGTTTTACTGTATATGGTTTAAATGGTTTATAACTTTTTTATTTATGCGATTATTATAATTTTTTTGTTTTAATACAGTATATTATTGGGGCATTTTTTGCAATTAGCTTTGAAAAATTATATCCTGTACGTGATGTCCCTTTTATGCTCGGCACATACGTGCTCTTTTCAGCATATTTTCCATAACGTTTTGCAGAATTTCGGGTGTAATGGCCATGATTTCATTTCGAATGTTGGTTTGGAGTTGGAGAATGGTTCTTGGTTTGTTAACGTACGCTCTTTCTTTCAAATATCCCCAAAGAAAACTGTTAAACAGAATTCAAACCATAAAGCTCATTCGGCGCCACCCAGTATTATAACCAAAAATTTGAGGTTTTTTTGGCCGAAATTACGATTTTTTCAAGGTAAAATGACGATTTTTCAGTAAAAGCATTCGACAACGCTGCTGGCAGGTCATTTCCAGGCGTGGATCCTGTTGGCATAGAGTAAAAAAAAACTGTTATCAAGAATTCAAACCATATAGCTCATTCGGCGCCACCCAGTACAAGAAAGAAATTCGTTGAAAATTATTCAGATCGGACTAAAAGTACACCCACTTAAATTTAAGACATCCGAAAACTCCGATATTTCAATAACTGAAGACCCTAATTTACGCCAAATTAATAGTTAGTCTCCGTGGCACCGCCCACTTTATAAGCTCGGTTTCGCCCGAACTTATACTTCTTTACTCGTCTTTATTTAGAATATATGTAATAAATACCATTAAAAAATAAAAAATATGTTAATAGGTCGCCCTTCTCTAGAGTTCCGGAAATGAATAACGTCCACCTTGAAATGAAACTTTTTAACGTAGATTTTTAATCTGATTCCGAATATCATAATGGTTTCTCTGGGTCAGACCTAGTTCCTGAGATATCGGTGAAAATATGAAAAAACCCATAGTTGCGACACATTACATCACATATCGATGGCTGAGTGGAAGATCGACCTATCTCGGCAGCCAGTTCGAAAACGCTCTATCTCAAAAAACTTTTCAAGAACGCCCTATTTCAGAACTCGTTTCAAAATCGCCCTATCTCAGCTGCCGATTCAAAAACGCCCTATATCAGCATATTTTCAATACATTTTGAAGTCAGATAGGGCGTTTTTGAACCGAATTTTGAGATAGGGTGTTTTTCAATTAAATTCTGAAATAGGGCGCTCTTGAAAAGTTTTTTGAGATAGAGCGTTTTCGAACTGGCTGCCGAGATAGGTCGATCTTCCACTCAGCCATCGATATGTGCATCGAAAAGTTGTATTTGTCATCCCATCGGTTTTATATCTGAGAGAGATTTGTAAAGGAGACTCCAATAAAAGTTGTTTGTCTTTATAGTTATAAATCACACAAGTGGTTTGGTCACTATAGAAAAAAAACATAGAGAAAATGTAAAAAAAATCATTATTTTTTATAAAGTTTCAGATACTACCGCCTTGAAATCAGAAAAAGTGTTCGGACGAAACAACCTATGCTAAAGAGCATTGGATGTATTTTCGATTTTATACTTTTGATTTTCTACATTGCGGAAAATTCAAAAATCAAAAACTACCATAATTTTTAAGAAACAGCTTAAAAGGGGCGAGATTTGAGATTTTATCAATTTCATGACATCCACCAAAATATTTTGGCTAAACTCACAGTAAATCGTGAGTTGGACCGCGTTGAAAATGTATCTGAAAATTGTTATTTTTTACAGAAGAAAATTTAAATTTCAAAGTTTTCCGTCCATCGCTAGTGGAAAAAGTTTAAATCTACTTAAAAACTGTATGTTTAAAATAATGATATTTTAAATGCAATTTTACGAAAATTTCGTAACCCAGTTGCCGCGAAAATTGAAATAACTCAGCTTATTAACAACACATATTTGTTATCAATTAATTTTTTGGTGAACTAATCCATTCACATGCCATAAGGTGGAATTGTATCAATGCTTAAAATATTAAAAAAAAAAATTAATTAAATAAGTGCATTCTGATTTAGTACGGAAAACTTGACGAAGACATTTCAGGGATTTCGGACAAAAATACGTGAAACAAACCTAGCGAAATACAAAAAAGTAGTTAAAGATAGCCACATTCTTCACTATTTCCAATCACGCCGAAATCGCCCAATATTATTTGTTTTTAAATTTGTTCAGCAGCATAACATCTTTCACCCTGTTCATCTCTCTTGCACGGTGCACGGTTTGCAAAGCTGTCCCATAGGAAACCCGGCTTAAAAGCTCCGAGAACAAAACATTTTAATGATTTCTCGGTAGTAGGTAGGTATTATAATAAAGTTCACTCAAAATCGGTACGCATGAAACGGGTTATATCTTTTTAATAGGTTTTCATGTTAAAATAAAGGGAAAACATTCCGTTATGGATACATGTTAGCGAAAGTTTCATATTTTGCTTGGATAAATAAATAAGAGACAATTTCTTTGATAATGATAAAATTTTTCTGAACAGCCGTTCTAGAGACTTGTGTAGTCAACTTGCTCTACTAAACTATCTTTAGTTTATGTTTTTCCACAGCTCGCATATCTCTACTAATTCTGTATGGATGGTTAGAATACTTGTGGTGTAGTGGTAAGCTGAGCGCGCTAAAATTCCGCTGGGTCTGGATTCCGAGCAACATAAAAAAAAACACAAAAAAAAAGTTTGTTCTAATATCGGTCGCCTCTTGGCAGGCAATGGCAAACCTCCGAGTGTATTTCTGGCATGAAAACATCTTCTCATAAAAATATAATCGCCGTTCGGAGTCGGCGTGAAACTTTAGGTCCCTCCACTTTGTGTGACAACATCAAGGCGCACGCCACTCTTATTTATCCAAATTTTGAGGTAATAATACAAAATTTTCAGTTTAAATGTTAATTTTTGTCGTAGTCGTTTTTTCAAATGTATGGCTTTCTATTATAAAATTACATAACGCTGTTTGCAAGTGGACTACTCATATGGGTTTTGCCTAAATATCCCAGAATTTTATTTAAAATGAGAACTGTTAACTTTGAGGTGGCATAAAATGAAAAAAATACCAATAATTTTTTTTGGTATAATACGTGTCTTCTTATTTTTCATAACCTATCAGAAACATACTATGAGACCTCAGGGATTGAACATTTTTTTCCATTTTGTTGCACTGTGTCATCTTTCCAAACGAACTTCGCGCCTCATTAGTACACCGTAAACGATCGGCTTTCTTTCTTATATTTATTAAAAGCTCTTGCTCAAGCTTTTATGCTTTTATTGCCATAGCTTAGGCTAACAACTATTCCCCAGTTCAGGTTAGTTTTAAAATTTGCTTCGTAAATAGTATAGTAAAAAAGTGACGCGGAAGAAAAAGCAAAGGAGAACGAATAACCAACTGATCGTTGTTTTTGTAGCAAACCAGTTGGTGGATATACGCAATGACATGCTGACGTTGACTTAGCACAATACATTGCTTGGATTTGTATCTACGTGTACATATTCATATACATACATACATATGTACAGAGATACAGTATTGGCCAATACAATAGCACCCCCATTTCAAAGTCATATTGTTTGCCACTCATGTTTATTTATTTATTTTTAAGAATTTTCAATTAAAATACAGTTCATTCTCTCACAAATCTCACATAAACTCAAGTTTAAAACTTTTTAAAAGACCGCAAAAAAGTGCAACAAATTTTCACCCAAATATCAAACTTTTTTCTCAGAAGCGGTAGAATTTTTTTGAATACACAGTTTTATAGCCCATTCAATTTTAGTCTAATAATGTGCAAGTTCCAAGTGGCTAAAAATTACCGTTGATTTTTTAGAATTTTTTTCGCCGAGGATGTTGCGGGTTTCTGCCATATAAAAATAAATTGTGTTTAGTCGTTATATGGAAGCAAATGAGACAAACAAAATTCTAAAAAAATCAACGGTAATCTTTAGCGACTTGAAACTTGCACATTATTGGACTAAAATTGAATGCGCTATAAAACTGTGTACCGAAAAAAATTCTAGAGCTTCTAAGAAAGAAGTTTGAAATTTAAGGGAAAGTTTGTTGCGCTTTTTTGCGGTCTTTTAAAAAGTTTAAAACATGGGTTTATATGGGTTTTGTTAGAGAATGAACTGTATTTTAATTGAAAATTCTTAAAAACAAATAACTAAACATAAGTGGCAAACAATATCGCTTTGAAAGGGGGGTGCTATAGATATATCCAATACTGTATATTTCTTGCGTACATACTTGGGAAATAATTTTGGATTTATTTTTGTTATATTTACAGAACGATGTTTTATCTGCAGTCCGGACCGACGACGCCTCTACATTAGATCAACAGATTATAAAGCAAGGTGAAAAAGTACGCGATCTTAAAGCCAAGAAAGTTTCCAAAGATAAAATCGATCCGGAAATACAAAAGCTTTTAGCTCTTAAAGCTGATTACAAAGTAGCTACAGGCACAGAATGGAAACCAGGTCAAACAGCGGCTGTAAACATTGCTAATACAGGTTGTACTGTTGAGAAATCAGTCAGTGAAGATATTGTCAAGCTAGGAAATCTGATACGTGATTTAAAAGCGAAGAAGGCGTCAAAGGCTGAAATAGACACTCAAGTTAAGGTGCTTCTTGATTTAAAGGCCAAATTCAAAGCATTAACTGGTAACGAGTGGAAGCCAGTTAATGTAGTTTCACCTTCTGCTCCACAATCAAAAGACAGTTCAGGTGTTGAGGAAGTACTCAAAAAAATTAATACACAAGGCGATAAAGTGCGCCAACTTAAATCACAAAAAGCTGACAAAGTGGTGGTTGAAGCGGAAGTAAAAACGCTACTAGCTCTTAAAACCGAATATAAAGAACTTACAGGCAGCGATTGGAAGCCAGGTGTTGTAGCACCAGCGACTATTAAGAAGGAGAAGTCTCCAGATCCACCATCAACTGCTGCAGTTAGAGATTTGCTAACGAAAATCAATGCTCAAGGGGATAAAGTGCGCAGTTTAAAGAACACTAAAGCGGAAAAAAATGTAATAGAAGATGAAGTCAAGCTGTTATTAGCACTCAAAACAGACTATAAGAGTCTTACAGGACAAGATTGGAAACCTGGGACAGCGCTTCCTCTTACAGCAGCTGATGGTCCCGTTAAAATTGACTTAACGCGCGACGAAAGCCCAGACGCCAATGCACTTCTAATACGAATTCAAGTTCAGGGCGAAAAGATACGAAAATTAAAATCCGAAAAATATCCAAAGCAAACGATTGACGCCGAAGTGCAGTCGTTATTGGCACTAAAGGCGGCTTATAAGCAAGAAACCGGTACAGATTGGACACCCAACACCAAAGTTCAACCTAACGCAATTTCTGTCACCCAAAAATCTCCAGTAACTATGTCTTCTTCACCAGAAAAAGAGCTACTCACAAAGGAGATCAATGAACAGGGAGATAAAGTACGTGCCGCCAAATCTAATAACCTTCCTAAGGAGAAGATTGATGCTGAAGTGAAAAAATTGCTGGCGCTCAAAGCGAAATACAAAGAAGTTACTGGAACTGACTTCCCAACCGCTGGCGGACGTGGCAGTAGCAGCTCCTCAAAGAAAGGAAGTGAAAAAAAGGCTCCAGCTACAAAGAAGGAAACAACAACATCAAAAGAAGAGACTGTTGCGAATGTGGCGGGGCTTAAAAAGCAAACCCGTTTGGGACTTGAAGCTACGAAAGAGGAGAATCTTCCCGACTGGTACTCACAAGTATGTAATGCTTTGTTTTTTTATATGTATACGATAGTAAAGCAGCCGACGGTTAACCGCTGTCTATTCTGTTCGCTATGCCAAAAACTTGTACAAATTGGTACCAATTGTTACTAAATCGCGTTCGTTCGGAGTAAAAACTTGAAAAACTGAAATTTTGACATTTCATTTAGAGGGAAAGCTGGAAATTCGTGGTGGCAAAATATTTGGCAGCAAGAATTTGCAAGCAAGATTGTGGCCCAAGGTTGTATTTTTGTCACCAATAATTTGAATCAACAAGTTCGTTAAATTTAAAAATATACAATCTTGCCGCGGTTTGGTATTGAAAGAAGTATGTAAATTTTGTTGTCGACGCCACTGTCGATGTAGGAAATTCGACAGTGATTACAACAAAGAAATTCAAACGTATGTTGAAGAAGTCCGAATAAGAAGAAATATACAGGTCGTAGAGCTGGCCGAGTAATTGGCGAAACTGTTTTCAAAATTTTTCTAACACCCTCAATTTCTTAACTTATTCTTAAAAAACCATTTTCGCATGACTTCCGGCACCAAAAAGTTTTTAGATCGGTTATTTTTGAACCAATTTTGAGTTTGAGGAAATATAAAGTTTGGTAAGTGCATTCTAATTATATGAAAAATTTGTGGAATCAATATAAAATTTGCACCAATTTTTATTATTTTTCCCACTTCCACAACATTTTTTGCCAAAATTTTAAAAGAAAGTAGTCTTTTTTAGTCATTACGTTTAAAAGAATGTTTAATTCCGAGTAAAACTAGGTACCATTCATTAAAATCAATAAACAGATTATAAAGTGATGACGTTTTTTTAAAGAGAAAAATTCAAATTCAATTTTTCTGTAAAATTACATCGAAGTGATTTTGGAAAAATCTTGAAAAAATTCATAACATCCGAAATTGTTTATTGATTTTTTAAATGGTACCTAGTTTTACTCGGAATTGAACATTCTTTTCGAAGTAATGACTGAAAGAGACTACTTCATTTTAAAATGTTGGAAAAAAATAATGTCGAAGTAGGAAAAATAATAAAAAGTTGTGTTAACTTGAGACTTATTTCAAAAATTTTCCACACATTTACAATGTACTCACAAAGCTTATTATTTCTTTAAATATTAGAAATATTCTTCTTTCCAAAGCCATATAAAAACTTTAAATTGGGTAAATAATAACAGAGCTAAAAATGGTTTAGTGCGGGAAGTCATGTGAAGTTGGTTTTTTAAAAATAAGGTGAGAATTTGAGGGTGTTACACAAATTTAATACGCAGTTTCGTGAATTACGCGACCAGCCCTACTACCATGAAATATAAACATATTTTTGTATGTACGATATCTTAACACTTACATATTGCTTTGCAAAAACATTAAATTAGAAAGCTTGTTTGATTTTAAAAACGTTCTACGCCAATATTTTGCCTGCCCCTAACAAAAAAAATCGTTTGCAAAGAACTGAAGCAGCAACGATGCAAAAGCGTTTTAAAGCGTATCTGTAAAGATCGGTTTTTACGTCACACGTTTGTGCCAAGAATATTTGGATCGCAATCCAAAATAAGAAATAGTAGCACTGACAAATTTAGTTCAATGAAAAGACCGAACTAGTGCACTAGTTTATTGAAATGAGCTAGTTCTTTAGTTCATTTAGTTCAAGAACTACCCAAGTATTTTTGCGTAGAATTTCTTCCTGCGTAGGCGGCCCACAGTGTGGAAATTGAAATTTTTTCGCGACAAAATCTAATACCCTAGAACCAGAATAGGTAACCAAGTAACGGTAGCGGTATTTTAAAGAATTTGAGACGCAGAATTCAGAAAAAATAATCTCTTTGACCTTTAAAACATTGCACTGAAGGAAACTTTATAACCCTGGAAATAGGCTTATTGACTCAAAAAAAAAAATGGTTACAACCTTTTGAAAAGTTCATTCCACATTTTTTTCAGTTAAAAAACAAGCCCGCCGACCGTCCCTTTAACCATAGCCCATATAGAAAAGCCAACCCAATTAATCTTCAAACTGAATATAAGGATTATTATAACGAAGAGAAAAAACGAACAATCGACAAAGCGGATCACGGTTGCATTTTAATATCGAGAAACATTTCCAGAAATTTATTCCCTGTGTGAACCGGCCAAAAGTCTTCAGAGATTTCGCCTTTCGGAAAATAAAAACCTCTTTCGAAAGATACTTTACATGCAAGGTGACTCCTCATGGAACTGCTTTCTGATATTTCGCATTTTGACAGCGTTTACGAAATATATTAGTTCTGTTCGCTATGCAAAAGCCAGTAACAAAATTTAGAGAATAAGGTATCTTACTCTCCCAAAGGGAGAAACTTGCTAAATTTTGCGTGGGCAGGAACTAGCAAACATTTGCAAGCTCCAGTGCCAGCTGGCGTCCACGGTTTCACTACGAACATAATATTTTTTTTTTAATTATTTCAAGTGGAAAACAAAACAGGACTTTCTTTCAGGATTTTTTTTTTTTCTGACTTTCTTCAACATACGCTTTAATTACTTCGCGGAAGTCACTATCGGATTTCCTGTATCAACAGTGGCGTGGACTGCGTGCCGATTACGAATACAGCTTTTTAAGCCGAGTACCTTTCAAATCTATGGAATTAATTAAATTAATTGAATAAACAAATATTTATATATGTAGCTACTTCTTTCATTAGTAAATCGCAACAAGATTGTTCATTTTTAAATTTAACGAATTTGTTGATTCAAATTATTGTTGACAAAAATGCAACAGTGTGCCACAATCCTGCTTGCAAATTCTTGCTAGCAAAAATTTTCTCAGCACGAATTTGCAACTTCCCCTCCAAATGAAATGTCAAAGTTGTGCACTCTCCTTGCAAGTTTTACCGGTTTTTTTGCCAAACGAACACGATTTGGTAACAATTGGTACCAATTTGTACAAGCTTTTTGCATAGCGAACACTCTTATTGCATTGCCACGTCAGACACGCTCTATACGTACTATGAGCAAATTGAAAGCAATTTTTTTAACTTGTTGAACGCAAAGTCTCATTTGTTTTGTTTTACTTGGACTCTACAAGCAGGGTTGCCACTGACGAAAAAAATACTTGCCATCCACTTGAAAAAAAAAAAACCAAATCTGGAAAATATCTACCAATAACGATTTTTTAGTTAATTTAATAAAAACTACAGTTTTGTAATTTTTTAGTTGTTTCAATAAAAATTAAAATTGTTTTTAAGGAACTTTTACAAAAAGCGAAAGTGATGAAACTACAGGCAACAACGAAACTTCATCATTTGAAAAAAAATTAACTGGAGTTTTTATAGACAAATACAGTGACTCAAAAAACGCTTGGTGATTTTTTTATATTCACAATGTTTTTCATGTAAAAATCAAGAATTCAAGCTAAATACAACATTTAGAAAAATTCAAAAAAATGCAGGAGGAGCATAATTCCTTTTAAACTTGCTTAAATATTCTTTACCATACGTATGACCTGTCATGAAACGATTAATCAATTTGATGTCATAAACATTTAAAACGCATTTTTTATCGCTAACCCATGATGGCTTTTTAATGCCTTCAATGTTATCCGCAAAAAATCTCCCTTTCGTAGTACTTAGCACAGTGAACTCATTTTCTCATTCCAACCAAATTTGCTTACGGATTTTGAATAAAACTTCCCCCAATGTTAATTTCATCTTTACAATCGACTCATTTCCAACAGCGGCCTTAGCATGGAAATCGGCTTTTTCATTTAGACCAATGCCTACATGACTGGGCACCCACATAACCCTGGCACATTCACAAACTGAATTTGCAATCCTGCTGTGAATTGCAGCCACAATGAAATTAGATATCATACTCTTATCTAGTAGTTTAATAGAAGCCATACTGCTGATGTTATTGGCACCGTCTGAGGGAATCATTGAGGATACCTTGCATTTTTTTGTTAAAACCAACAGGAGCATCAGCGTAGGTTGTATTAGAATTTTCAGCTTTGCTTCTCACTTATGACTTGTAAAAATTTATCGCCACTTTAGGCTCCAAACCCCCCTTAATTGTTGTTAACTTTTTAGCTAGATTAATACTTGACGACGCAGTGCTCTTGACATTGACATGTTCCTTAATGGAACCGTTTGCACTTATGACTCTACCAAGCCACTTCAACCATCTAACCTGTAGGATATCCCTGCGACTACACCTAAGATTGAGCTCATTGTTTGCAAAATAGGTCGAACACATATATTTAATTTTGTCCACGTTAATCCGCAAATTTAGTCCCTCAGACTACCTTCCAATCCATGGACAGCATCTTTCATACGATCAAATTGCATGTCCCAGATTCTAATTTTTAACTTAGTGCGAACATTTCTGTGATGACTTCAGAAAGCGGCTGATTAACCAACATCGTGCTTTCTTTCTCGTAAGCCTGCTGCATTTTACGAGTTGGTTTAGCATTATATGAGCCTACAGCCTATTTGACTCTGGCTGGCGAAAAGGTGCTACTTTGTCTAAATATTCAGTTTGCGATTTCCATAATCTATGATTAATTTCTTATACTCTTTTCCTTTGATACGGCTTTATTATATTTTCCTTTAATAGGACTTTCGGCTACAGAAGTAGATGCAGAAGCTTCTAAAGATTCACCCCTCGCCCTTCCTTACCTCACATCACTCAATTCTTCTGTTTTCACTCAATTGCTTCCGTACACCCATCCTGAGTATTGAGAAGTCGCGAGTGGTTTCTGGTTTCGGCCTCACGACTGTTACTGTTGCGGATATCCATTACGGCGTCGTTGAGGTTATTTGCCCTGTCTTCTAACTCCAATCACAGAAATACATAAGTTACTTTGTTTATAAAGTTAACTTTTAGAATACATCAAACATTTTATTTCGCTCCTCATTTTTTAGGTCATTACAAAAGGGGAATTAATCGAATACTACGATGTCTCTGGTTGTTATATACTACGTCATTGGTCATTTGCAATTTGGAAGTTTATAAAATCGTGGTTCGATGCTGAGATCACCAAAATGGGTGTGAAAGAGTGTTATTTTCCTATTTTCGTTTCGCGAGCGGCACTCGAAAGGGAGAAGACTCATATCGACGATTTTGCGCCAGAAGTCGCATGGGTGACGAAATCCGGCGACTCTGACTTAGCTGAACCAATTGCTGTGCGACCTACCTCCGAAACCGTTATGTATCCGGCTTACGCAAAATGGATTCAATCCTACCGCGACTTGCCTCTTCGCCTAAACCAATGGAACAACGTTGTGGTAAGATTATTCTAGTATTAATACAATTTTTTATTTTTTTTTGTTATAATCTATATAGTATAAATTATTTATATTTTTGCGACTCAAATTGAACGTTATTTTCAGATTTTAATTGCGAGATTATAAAGGATTTTAAGCGATCACAAGAGCGTAATACTATGTTCACGTTGAAAAATTAACTCGAGTTTAACGTTTTGAGTTTATGAACAACTGTCAAGTGTTCTCATTTTGGTGTTTAACAAACTTAGAATTTAATTTGACATTTGATTGTTTACTTTTTCTTATTCACATTTAGCCTTTTCCCGTACTCCAGTGGCCGTGGTGTAGAATACCTACCGTTTAGCCAAAAAATAAAAAATAAAAATTGTGACTCGATAGAAATTTTCATGCTGATTTCAACCATACCAAGATTATTTGCCAAAAATAAAAACCAAATCCAATAAAAGGGTTGAAGTTAAAATTTTCTATTTTACAACGCTTTTATCAACTTGCAATGTTGTGTGTCCAGCAGAGTTGTGAAAAATGCATTAATTTTTTAATGCTTTAATCGTATTTAAAGCAATAATGTTAATGTAAAAAATTAATGCATTAATTTATGAAATTTAATGCAAATGAATATTTTATGCATTAATTCTGAAAAATGTAATGCTAATGAATTTTTTTTTCATTAAATTATCCAAGCTAATGCTAATGAAAAAATTTTAATGCACTAAAATGCTTAATACTTTTGCTCGTTTGCATTATTAAAAACCATTAAATTTTTTTTTCTAGTAAAATATAAATATCCTATTTTGGAAGGACTTGGAATAATTACTAATAGTTTTTTCAGCTTCATTATATTATGTGTATTTGTAGAAAGATTCTTCTAAACATTGTTAGATGTTTTATGAAAATGAAAGCCAATGTGCATGCAACGCAGATTGCTTTTATAGATTTTTATGTTGATTGTTGATGCATACCGATTACATATATTAAGTATAAGCCAAAAACGGACAGATAGCCAGTTTAGCAGCGCATGTACACGACTGAGCACCTACTCTGATCTAAATCAATCAATAACCCGTTTTTTAGTTCCCTTTGACAATGTGATTTTACGTATTTAACGACAAAGGCCATCGAACTTGACATAGTGAAAACCAGCCTTAACGTCCGTCACTATCTTTTTTGACCTTAAAATTCTACCCTCAACGTCAGCAAAGAGTTTTTACTTTCAAAATAAAATTAGAATGGGTTTTTAATGCTTGTTATAATTTTAGTGCAATAAATTATTGCAATAGCATTCATTTAAACATTTTAATGTTAATACAAAAAAAAATCATTAGCATTATTTCTTCGGAATTAATGCATTGAAATTTTCATTTACATTAAATATCAAAAATTAATGCATTAATCTTTTTCATTTACATTAAAATGCTATGCTTTAAAAAATGTAATGCATTTTTCACAACTCTGGTGTCCAGACAGCTAAAAACCTTTGCTTTGCAAACTTTGCTTTGCAAAGTTCCTATAAAAAGAGTCTAGACATAAACTTCGTCGGTTGAAAGGTAGATGTCGCCTTATGCACTACGTACGCTACAGCGGAAATGGACGACACGGCATTTCTTTAAATGAAATTAATTGGTGCTCGTATGTATGTACATTAGACTGCATCACTCCCCATACAAAAAAAAATCGGCACTGTTTTTCCATTGGAATTTTAGAATCTATTATATTTTAAGACCTCCACCTATATATTTCGGAAAAATATTAGGATTTAAGCGAGCTGGACCGATTTGAAAACACCTCCAAAAATTGAGTTTTTTATGAATAAAAATAGTTTCTTAAAGATGTTTTTTGAAAAAAATGCTCTCCAATGACAAAACGGTTTAAGCTTCAAAAATTACATTACATTACATAAAAATATTAAAAAAAAAATATTTCAACGGCATAAGAAACACTTGAATAACTGAACCTAAACTCTTCCGATTTAGACTTGTGAGGTAAAAGTATTTTCTCACTCTTTTTATTTCTTTGCTAATAAGCTCATTCAAAGGATGAAAGATAAAGGTAGGATGAACGAACATCATTCAAAGTTTAATTAAGATGTGTTGGTATTTGAAAAAAAAAATGGGACACAAATGACTTTTTTTGCACATAAATAAAAATAGTGGGAAAATACCTTTCTACCGAGATCCCATAAGTCTAAATCAGAATAGTTTCGGCCCAGTTATTTAAGTTTTTCGTAGATCAATCTTTGAAAAAGGTAAAAAAAACAGCATCAAATATCTCATTATTACGATTCCGTTGAAAAGATTTTTAAATATTTGTATGCAGATTTTTTAAGCCTAGTCTGTTTCGTCATCTGAGGTGACTCTTTTCATAAAGTTCTTTAAGAAACTATTTTCATTCATATATATATATCCATTTATAGAGTTATTTTCAAATCGGTTCAGCCCGCTTAAATCTTAATATTTTTCCGAAATATCTTGGTACATTTTCGAGATTCTCGAATATCATGACGAAATAAAAAATAGGTGTCTTCTGTTTTTCGATAAAGAATGTAAAAAAATATATTTCACCCCAAAAAAAATATTAAGGTGTAAATATTGTATGGAATGACCCATATGTATGTATGTATGAGAATATATGAATAACGGCCGCTTAAAATTGTTTATAATGACTTGCTAAAATTTCAAAATCAAAAGTTATCAAAACAAATTGTATGGCATTGAAAAATATTATTTTCTACTTTTTAGTCCAATTATAAAAAAAGCGTTATTTATTAAATTTTTTTTTTATATTATTTATTTTATATACTTATAATATCTCTCACCGATCACAAAGGTATTGAAGCTATTTAAAGATAATTTAAATACCTTTAACGCGACGGATATAGTATAACCCTTTTTAAAACAAATTTTAAATAAACGCCATTTAAAAAAAAAAATATATATTAATATATAAGTTTTTTGGTAGTTAGGTGTTTCTGGCTTAAAAATATAAACAAAAGGAAAAAAATATGCCCACTACGTGAAATACCCCCTAATTACCTTTATTTCGACGTCATTGGTTTTTAATAGGTTATGTTGTTCAGAATATATTAATATTTAAACATCTCTAAACAACACCACTCTGTGACTGCCAAAATGTAAATCAGAGAGCTGTTTTGAGTATGATCGAGCCTTTTTGATAATGTGTGTAACTAATGAAACGGATACTCGAACAGTGTTGCCACGGACAATTTTTTTTTCCTACCAAGACCAACCATACCTACCAAAAATGTGTTTAAGGTTTTAAATTGTTTTTACCAATGCCAAGTTTATTACAAATGTAGACAACATAACATTTAGTAAAACTAAAACACAGCTAGTAGAATAAAACAAATTGACTACGTATAACAATTAATTTTACTGTACAGACTTACACAAATGTTTATCTCTTTACAGATACATATTATTATTAGTATTATTATTATTAAGTCGAGGATGCTCGCGCTGCGACCTAAGAAGATCTATTGTGCTTAACCCTACCCCAGACTATTTAAGAAGTCAGGAGGAGGACGCCATGTTTCAAATTTTGAATAAAGAAGACAATCGTCCCCTAGTCTGCTATCTATGATACGTGGACAGTCACATAGAATATGCTCTGGGGTTTCCTCACAAAAGGCTAGGGACCATGCAAGCGCATTTGGGCTCCACGCTTTGCGAGACACTCAGCCTTTTCGTTGCCTTCAAACCCTTCATGTTCCGGAACCCACCAAAGCCTTAACTATTGTGGATTTCCAAGCAGTTCAAAAGAGCTTTTCAGCTGTCCACAACCCTGGTGCCGTTTTAAAAGAGTGTAAGGCCTTTAACCTGCCTGACTATCCGACATAATATTTATTTTGGACAAATGGGGTTCTTTACATAGACTTTGATTGCGAACACTTCCGCCTGGAATATAGTTGGGTATGTGCCAATTGGCAGAATTTTCTGGAATCTTGATCCAAACACGCCTTCAAAAATACCCCGAAGATCTCCAATTTTATTTCTGGTCATATTGGGCAGTCGTTAGTAGAGCGCTCCAGCAGGCCTCTTTTTCAAACCAAATAGAAAAACGAGGAGGAATGCCTTAAATGAAACCAAGGGCATCCGTTGGATAGGTGCCCTTAGCTTCTATGATAGGCCCGCGGACCAGTCGCAGCCGTCCATTCGAACGACATGACCAAGCCAGCGGAGCCGCTGCATTTTAATTCGCTGCACTATGTCCATATCGTTGTAAAGCTCATACAGCTCATCGTTAAATCGTCTGCGGTACTCGCCGTCGCCAACGCGTAAAGGCCCGTAAATCTTCCGCAAAATCTTTCTCTCAAACACTTCAAGAGCCGCCTCATCGGATGTTGTCATTGTCCATGTTTCTGCGCCATATACCAGCACTGGCATGATGAGTGACTTATAGAGCGTGGTTTTCGTACGTCGAGAGAGACTTTACTCCTGAATTGCCTACTCAGTCCAAAGTAGCACCTGTTGGCAAGAGTGATTCTGCGTTGGATTTCAATGCTGACATTATTATCGATGTTAATGCTGGTTCCCAAGTAAACGAAATTCTCTACTTTCTCGAAATTGTAACTGTCAACAGTGACGTGGGTGCCAAGGCGCGAATGTGCTGACTGTTTGTTTGATGACAGGAGATACTTCGTCTTGTCCTCGTTTACCACCAGACCCATGCGCTTTGCTTCCCTATGCAACTTGGAAAAGGCAGAACAGACTTCGCGGTTTTTGTTACGGATGATGTTGATGTCATCGGCATACGCCAGCAATAGCAAGCTCTTGTAGTAACTTGTTCCTGAGCGGTTCAGTTCTGCAGCTCTTATTATCTTCTCCAACATCAGATTAAAGAAGTCAGATGAAAGGGAGTCGCCCTGTCTGAAACCCCGTTTTGTGGCGAACGGCTCGGAGAGGTCTTTCCCCATTCTGACGGAGCTGGTGGTATTGCTCAACGTCATTTTACACAGCCGTATCAGTTTGGCGGGTATACCAAATTCAGACATAGCGGCGTATAGGCAACTCCTTTTAGTACTGTCGTAAGCGGTTTTGAAATCGACAAATAGATGGTGTGTGTCGATCCTATTCTCGCGGGTCTTTTCCAAGATTTGGCGTATTGTGAATACCTGGTCTATGGTGGATTTGCCAGGTCTAAAGCCACACTGATAAGGCCCAATCAGTTCATTGACGGTGGGCTTCAGTCTTTCACACAATACGCTCGATAAGACCTTGTAGCCTATGCTTAGAAGGCTGATCCCGCGGTAGTTGGCGCGAATGGCGGGGTCACCTTTCTTGTGTTGGCTGAAGGGATCCTTTAAGAAGCGAAAACCGTTCACAGTAATGGCGTGCACCCCAAGTTCCTTCTTTATTTTCAGTCGGAATTTGGCCTTCGCCCATGCACAACATTAAGGTAGATTCAAAGGGAAAAGTTATAAACGTGTAAAAGTACTTTGAGTAAAGGAAATCCAACAAAACCAAATGGAATCTACGTCTGAACGGTAGTAAAATACGTAAACATTTTTGTGAATATCAACACTGTAACCCATATATGTAATACTTCTATATTGCTAGAACAATATGATCGCAATGAGTTTTCCATTCGAAATCAAAGAAAGACAGCCTATGAAAATGTTTGTGACTGTAGAAGTATACGTGTATATTTGTAAACTACTACATAGAATGAAGTGCCATATCATAACAGGGCCGGTTCAGGGAATCCAACAAACAAACACAAATTTGACGGTCTCATGTTTCCTTCAAATGTATATCGAGCCCTAGCCGCGAAAATGAAGTAAGACAACTTTTTTCAAATTTTAATTTTCATGCATAAATGCCTCTTAGAGCACCTGCATCAAAAAGTAAAAAAAAAATATATATATATATATACATTATTTTAGCGGTTAGGGCTCGGTATGACGAATTTCTCCGATACTACACGATATTTGGAAATCTGAAAAATTGGAAGATAGAAGATCTTTTCCTAAGAAAGAGAAAACTTATTTACATATAAAGCGGTGTGGTATTTTATATGTTGGCTGAATCCAATAAAGCACGTTATTCGATTGCCTTCTATGGTGATTGACGCCAATTGGAAATGCCAAATGATGCCAAGTCCTTCTCTAACTGGTATTTTTATCCTCTGCCGCCACCAACGGCCGCAGCGCTTCTCATAGATTTACAAAATTTTTTTTTTGTTAATTTTTCATAAGAGTTGTTTTTAAATAAAAATTTGTGAAACCGCTCCTGAATTTTGAAAAGTAAAATTGTCATTCTGAGTACATTCTCTTATCGGATCTCTCTTTCTTTTTTCAATTTTTCGGTACTCTGATGGAATGTACTCTGAATGTACTAGCAATATAGAAGTATTACATATATGCTGTAACCGAATTTTTTTTAGAAATAGAAATATAATGTTTTATTTTTGTTTCTTTTTTAACCAAATTTGTGTTGTTAAATGAAACAGTAATAACACGCTGTCGGATGCAGGCTTTAAACCTATTGGAGCTTCTTTAGGAAAGTATTAGCTACTGAATAAAAAAAAATTCAGCTGCTCAAATCTCCCATTGAAATTTTAATATATTTTTTTAACATGCTTTTATTAGCTTCACCCGTATGTAAAAGTTTTGAGCTTTTTAATCAAGGCCTTGTTTTTAATTATGTAACGGGTGATTTTTTTGAGGTTAGGATTTTCATGCATTAGTATTTGACAGATCACGTGGGATTCAGACATGGTGTCAAAGAGAAAGATGCTCAGTATGCTTTGAAATT